CGGACAACATTAAATAACTATTAGTTATGTAATGTCGAGAAAGGGGTGGGATTAAATAAGCTGATGCTTCTTCCTACTCCCTTTTGAACATGTGTAAAAAAAATGTTTAAATAAAATTTAAAAAAATAAACGAGGAGAGCTTACTTATGTTGTGTGTATTACTATGTGTATGTACGCATGTCCAAAATAAATAAAGACAAAAGACAAATGTAAAAAGAGTTCAAGGTTGTCGTTAATATATGATTTAAAACTTTTTTTTTTGCTTTAAAAGACTTACATTTAGTGTGGAACATTAAATTTAAACACCTTCTGTCCTGTTCTCACCAAAAGGATTTTTTTTCTTTGTTGTAACATCATTAATATTCCCATGTCCTAAACTGACTTGCTCTGCCCCCCCCCCCCCCCCCCCCCCCAAAAAGGGCTATCAGTTCTATTTTCATTAACTAAATAAAAATCTGCTTAGAATTGACATAAATGTGCATGCACTTAAAGAAAACAGAAAATGATTGCGTGAGGTGTTACATACTCTGATCTTTTGTTATTCATCCCAGCAGAGGGCAGTACATATCTCAGCAATGGAGATTTTGCAGGTGAGGATCTTCATTCACGGCAGCAACACCAGGATGTGCCAGCTTGTGGTAGAAATACTTTAATCTTATTTGCCACAGTTATTGTCCAATAATTTGCTCATAATTATTGTCTGCTTAAAAAAACCTATAAGCTCCACAAAAATCTAAGAAAATCTGAATAATAACATTTGTTAGAAACTTTCACAAAGATCAAAAGCAAAACTTCTAAATTCTAAATAACCAAAAAACAGTTATACTGTTTTGTTTGCTTTCTTCTCGCACGTTGCAGTAATAAATCAATAAATAATGATATTGTGGTTGTAAACCCCCAAGAGCCTTTACTCTTTCGGTAACCAAGTAGAACAAAAGATAAGCTTTCCTGCTTCCTGTTTTTGTTAAAACATTTTGCTTCATATGTTTGTGAAAGCTGAAATTTTGCTTGACGAAAAGATTAAATCATAGATATGAATCCATTTCATTAGCACTTTGAAAATAAATTTCAATTTTCTGTCATTTCCTTGTCATTAGTCCACATGCCATTAATAGATGAGGTGGCTGATGACTGCTCTGTTCTGGATCTCCGCAGTAATACAGTAACAAACGGTAATGGAGTGGTCTTTGGGAAAGAGACATGTAGAGTATTTTGTAGAGGTATGGGGTAATACATATAAATCAAGAACTATAGTCCACTGCTTTTATTACAAAAGAGAGCTATTAGAATTTTACATAGAGTAAATGCTAGAGAACATACTAATAGGTTGCTCAGTGTGTCAAAAATAATAAAATCTATTGATACGGTTAGTTCAACCGGGAGGAGATCTAAAGGTAGACCCAGGACACGGTGGAGGGACTATGTCTCTCACCTGGCCAGGGAACGCCTTGGGATTCCCCCAGAGGAGCTGGCCCAAGTGGCTGGGGAGAGGGAAGTCTGGGCCTCTCACCTTAGGCTGCTGCCCCTGCGACCCGACTCCGGATAAGCATATGAAAATGGATGGATGGATGGATGGATGGATGGTTTATAAACTTTATTAATTATGTTTATAACTAAAACATTTTTACTGACAATGGGGCTACAAAAAGTTTTTATGGTGAATCCTAAGGAGGGCAATACAAGAAAGAAATATGAGTTTAAAGAAATGTTTGCATGAACGACACAAACAAATGTGTATATCAGTTTACGGAGCAAAAATGTGGAGTACATTGTGATGTGGTTTAAAAAAAGTTTTAACTATTGTACAGTTTCTGAAATTGGTCAAACAGAAAATATTACAATCTTATGATTAAGGGATAAATTATGGGAAATAGTGATTTGTTTTGCATGTTATATTGTATAAATATGATTATATAACGTAGGAGGCCATTTTGTGTTATGTAATGTGTTTTGTATTCAGTACTAGGGGGAAGGCTATGTGAGGTTTTCTTATTCTTTCCCCCCGTTTTCACATAGAAGATGGTTATGGCTATTGTTTTACAATGGATTAATGAATTGATGTAATTATGTGAAAGAAATTTGTGAAATGAAATTCGTATCGCCCTGGTATATGATGCTGAGCCGTGCTTTCTTCACTGGTTCGTTTGGTCCTATGGTTTTTGGCAATGGTTCTGTCAACCAGCTGTTGATTCTGGGAGTCAACAAGGCAAGGCAGCTTTATTTATTTGGTACATTTCATACACAGAGGCAATTCTATGTGCTTTCCATTTGCAAGAATAGCAAGAACATTAAAAGCAATGTAACAGCACGATTAAAATACACACAAATTAAATTTAGATTTAAAAATGTAAAAGAAAAGACAAAGTTAAAGTGTGAGCAGTTACAGCGCAGAACATGCAGAACAGTCATTCAAAAAGTGATGAATACATGAAGGGTTTTAATTTTGATTTAAAATTTACTGGAGTTGGGGCACATTTGAGGTCATGAGGAAGCTGATTCCATCTGTGTGCAGCATAGTAGCTTAAAACAGCTTTACCCTGTTTGGTTCTGACCCGGGGTTCTACCAGCTGACTGTTTCCTAAGGATCTCAGACCCAATATGGTATAGTATAGAGCCCAAACCAATACTTTCAACTTCCACCGTTGCGCCCTTATATTGTACGTTCCAGTCCAGGGGTGCTAGTGCGTAGGGTGTCCCAATCCTCAAGTGTGGAAGTTGACTACACCCCTTTTGCACCGCTGAACCGTGCTTTGCCGAAGTCTGTGTTGATGCAGAACAATGGCTCGAGTGCCTTTTCTGAAAATATGTATTTTCAAGTGAAACTTCTGCTCTGAATGTTTTAGACTAAGATTTAATATAAACAGCAGTTGTTTGTTTGTTTGAAAGTTGTTAATAAAGTTTTTTTAAGTAGCCAGCATGCATTGCAGTCAGTGACGCAATCCTCACAGTGCCAATTCTGCAATTATTTGCACATGTGTGTACTACCCATTTGAAGCCTTACTGTGCACTTCCTCCGAGTGCATATTGCTGAAGATCGTAGGGCAAAATGTAAGTATTGGGATTGGGCCGAGATGTCAACTTGTGTCGGTGCCTTGCTCATGTTTTAATTTACATTCTTTTTATCTTTGCAGCTATCATGCCTGAAGGGAGCTTCTATGCAGTGGAGTGTCTGGAGGAAAAGACTTGACTTTAAAGCAGCCCTGTAAGGAAGAACTGTGCAGAAAATCATCTGCAGTTACTGGAAACATGTTATCACTGTCAGAAGGTGGTCAAACTGGTTATTGAATCCAAGACTTAACTGATCTGTGGATCTTTAGATCACACAGATAAAAGACTTGTTTCTGGCGTATGCACCAAAAACATTTAAAATAAAAATTGTGCAGAAAAAATAAAATGAACACAGACAAGAGAATAGGGAGGTGTTTTTATGAAACTGTTAATAGACGTGTGGTTCGAGAAAAAAGTGGGTCAATAAAAAGTTTCCTTTCTTTTTTCATTAGACCTTATCAGATAGCGTACAACTAGAGTTCTTACTTAAAACCAATCTTAAACACAGGCCAAGGCATGCTGTGTTACCAAGTACTGGCATTTCTGGTTTGATGATGTCACTTTGGTGATGCGCATTTGTTGTTCTGGACATAGTTTTACACAAAACCTAAAATAATGTTTGCCCGTTCTTTAAAATGCACAATCATCATCTGTGAAATCCATGGAACAGAACAAGTGTAATTAGAAAATAACAGTTTTAACCCCGTTGACTTGCATTCTTTTTTTTTTTTTTTTTTTTTTTGTTCTTCTGGAGACCCATGGTCCAGAAGTGGATGGGCATGACTAAGGGTCCCTATTATTTTTTTTACCAGTGTTTGCACTGACCAATATTGTTGTGATTTGCCCACTGTTGCTTTTATATTCTACAAATGTGTGTCTGCAAGCTGAGAGCTGCCAACTTATGCGTATATAATGACATTAAGGAATTCTTACATTCTTATATTTTACGTCTTATGTGGCTCAGAGAGATATTAGATAAGCTCATTAAGAAGGGCAGCTCTGTCTTGGGATGTACCCTTGATCCAGTGCATATAATGGGAGACAGAAGGACTCTAGCAAAAATAGCATCACTGTTGGACGATAGTCTCCCATCCCATGCATGATGCTGTTTTGGATCAGAAGAGCTCCTTCTGTGACAGATTGCTGCATCCTATGGGCATGAAGGAACGTTGTCATAGGTTTTTCCTCCCAGGCCCAGCAGCAGTTAGGATTTGCAACCAGTGCTGCTTCCAACTAACCCACTAAAACTTTTTGCCTCCCTGCTGCTTGGTTATTTGCACAGTTCTGTTGTAGTTCTATCTTCACATTTCTCTACTGATCACTCCAATAATCTGCTTGTTCTCTCACAATATTTTATTTTTTTTTATTCAAACATTTTGTAAATTCCATTGATTCTTCTTTAAAATATTTCTTGCAATAGTGTTTAACATGTTTTTGTTTAGAGTACAGCCTTCTATTTCTTATTTATTTATTTGTTCTTATTGTGAATGTGGTTGCTGTTGTGATACAAACATGTCCCTACTATATAGAATAAAGGGATATTCTATTCTATTCTGTTCTGTTCACAAATCGAATCCCCTCTATTTGTAAAATATTATTTAGGCTGCCTTGCTTTGCTTTAGAAAAATATTGTGTCCTCAGATCCATTTGAAAATACTTGCTCCTTTATTTTTATTTTTATTTACTTATTAATTCTTTGAATGACACCAATTTCCATCAATTTTCTATTCACTGTTCTGTCAAATGTGTTGGATCAATAAAGTTTTTTGTTCAAATAATAAAGCCCGAAACATGTAGGTAGTTTTTTGCCTTTTTAATTACAAATACAATGCTATTTATATTATTTTTGCCTTGCCAAAAGGAATGTGCTAACGTTTTTTATGCCTTTGAACCTTTTCTATACTGTATAATTTCACAATGATAGATTTGGAAAACAAAAGCAAGCTCCATCCTGGCTTTCCGCTGCTTTATGGACAGGCACTTGTGAGGGCACCTCTCACGACGGAGGAGAAAGACATGGCGGTCTCCTTGCGTTTGGGTCGTCAAGGAATTTTTTCTGGTCTCAAATTACTTAATTTTAACAAAAGTTTTTGGCTTCGACACCCTTCGCAGGATCGCGTGAGATACGTATTTCAGTCGCCATGGATGTTTGGTGAGTGTTGGCTTTAAAACCGGCTAATCAAGGGAGAACAGCTCTCCTTTGACCTGACGTTTGCTACACCCAGTTATGTTTAATTGTGATGGATTTACGTGTGTGACATTAAGTCTCGTCGTTTTTTACAAAACGATTCCGGATTGGCTCATCTGGTTTAATATCTACGAAGGAGTTGAGTTACTTCTAAAACAATTCAAACCAAGCTTCGCAAAAATTGAAATATCTACTAAAAAATAAAAAGAGGCCATGATATTGTGGCCAAGGATTTTATCTCCTGTAAATTTTTAGGAAAGTGTATATTAGATATTCAATTAAGGATGATTTAGACAACATGCTGACTCGAAGACAAAATAGACATGCAAAAGACTTGCAGCTTACCAAAAATAACCACAAAAAATTAATATTTACTCTTAAATGTCAGATAAAAAATCACAATCTTCATGAAAATTAACTAAAGCTTTAAGTGTCCAGCAAATGACAGCATACACCCCTTTAACTAGAAACAGAAGAGACTTCTGACCTTTTTATTTAACTGAAAACCACTTAGGAACAATTTCACTGTCAGTATTTTTAAAACCTGTTCTGTATTTTATTTTGTACCATGGATAAGTATTAACAGTACTCCCCTCCCCCTCCATGTTAGACAGTGTGGCCTCTATGGGTTACGGATATTAGAAAACCTACTATCCTTTTTAGTCTCGTAACTAGTTAACTTGTTTGACAGCCATCAACTACGATCACGGGTTTGCAATAACTGGCACTGAGAAAAACGGTTCTTTATATTTATTCATTTTTTATTTTATTACTCTTGTCTTTGAATATACATTTTGTGTTTTCTTCCTTCCATCCTCTAGGTGTCAGCCCACTCAAAGTACAAATGCCAGCTCTCTCTCCCACCATGGAGGAGGGAAGCATAGTCAAATGGCTGAAAAAAGAAGGTAAAGTGATACAAGTTTAATCAAGGGTTTCTTAATTAGGGTATTTTTGTAATAAGTATTTTAAAATTCTGAAAATTGCATTAGATTTTACAGAAAACTTGACTACATCAATGTCATTTCTCTCCCTTACCAGCTTTATACCTTAGTAAATTATACATAAATATGTTATAGTCATGACTCAAACAGCTTCTATTTGGACAAAACTGAATCCGAAGCTCCACTTTTCTTATCCTCCCACAATTACAGACCAACATCAGGACAAATCAATCACTCAATGACATTTCATTGCTTTGTAAGACAGAGACTTGAGTTGTAGATCACCTGAGGGCCTTGTTGGCTAATTAACTCAAGAAATCACAATTGCTGATAATCATCCAGGTGGTTCTCTTATCTAGAAGCAGCATGAGGAACTCAATGGCTACAAGCTGTGTTACCATGTGTTTCTGCCATTTGTACAATTGTGTGTATGTGAAAATCATGAGAATGGATGCTTCAAAACATTTGCTTCCTGTACCCCCCACCCCCCACCCCCACCCCACCCCCGGTCCTGTCTGGCTGTGAAGCACACATAATTGATGTCTGAATGCTGGTAACAAGCCATACAGATTTACTCTCAGGTGGAGCATCAAAGCATCTGCTTTTAATGTCACGCCTGATACTTAAAACTTTATTGTTATTGTTTTTGAATGCTTTGTAATTCTGACCAGACACAGAGACATAGGTGAAAGAGAAAGGAAGAGACAAGGAAGGGGGAGGGGGAATAAACAATCAATGATGAACAGGGATCTGCTTCTAGACCTGCAGAAAAGGGACACACAACAACACAACAGGAGCAAGCTATCACTGTGTCAACCTGATGAGGAAATATAAAATGAACATTGTTTTACTGAACAATCACACGATAATAAATCACAGTGCATTTAGTGCCAACCACAGCCTTAAGACATGTGTTGAACATGCCCAAGTCCATACTTACTGCCTCCCCGGGAAGCCAAGCGACAACAGAGGTGTGCTAAGGCCCCTAGTCACCCTCCACCTGCTCCAATATAGTGTTAGTGCGTGTTGATGAGGTTTATTCAATCGCTGTGGTGAGCAGGCAGTGCAGGCATCGTCTGGCCTACGCCAGCTGATGCCACCACACCACTCCACTTGCACCCACAGCCCTCAGTGTCTAAGTGCAGTTTAAAATAGGAAGAAGGCACCGGCACTTGGGATGAGGCTGAAAATTCCCCCTGCCAAATGCCGTTGAATGCGCCAAGGTCTACCTGAGTCCCCTGAGCCTGGGCCAGGCACTGCCACATGTTCCCGCCTTCTTCCCGGCAGCATACATGCTTCTTGTATTTCCAACTACAACTATAATGTAAGGTTGTGCAAGTTTATTTAACATACACAACAGATTTAATTTGAATAAGGGTAATAACATATTTATGAAATGGTAAACTTAACACAGTGATAGCGAGCCTGGCAAGCCATCAGTATATATTATCTGGCCACGGCCCATTCACAGCTTTTGCTGCACAAAAAAGTTGTATAATCAGCTGATTGTCTTCATCCTGTTTTGTTCTGAGGAGATGATGGATGAACATCTGCAGAAAGCTAATCCTATTTGCTACAGAAACAAGCATTTAAAGTAAATTAATGGTTTATCATAGCTAGAATCCTATGAAGTGCATCACTGGGACTTAACTGAATTTCTCAAATGCTAAACAAATATTATGTGTCCTTTTCTCATTTTTTTAAATCAAATCAAAATAAAATCAAATCAACTTTATTTACAAAGCGCTTTCACATGCCCAAAACGGACAAAGAAAGTGCTGTACACCAATAACAAGCACAACAATAAAACAGACACATAACCATTTAAAATACAATAAGAAATCCCAAGTACAAGTTCGCAATCCATATCAGTCCTGTTTCCAGAATCAGATCCAGACACATTCAAAGTGATGCTGCCCACGCAATCCCAACTTCAATGTCCAAACGCCAACGAGAACAGATGCGTTTTTAGTCGGCTTTTAAAGGTCTCCAGTGATTTGGCCTGCTTTACGTCGGCTGGCAGCTCATTCCAAAGACTTGGTCCGAGCACTGAAAAGGCACGTCTCCCACGAGACTTCAAGCTGTACCTGGGCACAGTTAATAGTCTCTGGTCAGCTGACCTAAGGGAATGCACCGGGACATGTCGGGATGATGTCAGAAAGGTATTTAGGTGCCCTTGAGTTTAACGCCTTAAACACAAACAAACCTGATGCGATAGGAGACAGGGAGCCAATGCAAGGCATGTAGGACTGGTGTAATATGTTCAGACCTCCTGGTAGATGTTAACAACCGAGCAGCCGAGTTCTGAACCGCCTGGAGGCGTGCTATTGGAGCTTGCCTAAGCCCCGTATATAGCGAGTTGCAATAATCCAGCCTGCAGGTAACAAAGGCATGGATCACAGTTTCCAAAAGACTACGTGACAGAAATGCTTAATTTTCGCTATACGGCGTAGATGAAAGAAGCAAGATCTCACGATTCCGTTCACTTGAGCATCAAATCTGAGCTCTGCGTCCAACTTTACCCCTAGGTTAGTGACCACCGTCTTCTGATGCGGTGCCAGTGTGGAAAATTCAAGCCTTTGGGCACCTCCTAGGGTCTTTGGTGGAGTAAACAGAATTACTTCAGTCTTGTTTTTGTTGAAACGCAGGTAGTTCTGAGCCAACCATAGCTTGATGTCCTCCAGGCAGTTCAACAAAGGTTGAATGGTGCATAAACTGCCACGCCTAATTGGAAAAATGACCTGGCAATCGTCAGCATATAGATGGAATGACACGTCATGTTTGCGGATTAGGTCACCCAGGGGTAGGAGATATAGGGAGAAAAATAGTGGGGCCAAAATCGATCCCTGGGGCACTCCCCAAGGCAGCTCAGCCAGGTTGGAGGAACAGTCCCCCAACCTCACACAAAAACTCCTCCCTGTCAAGTAGGATCTTATCCACTTGAGTGCCTGTCCCGTAATGCCCATTTACTGCTCCAGCCGGTTTATTAGGATGCTATGATTTTTAAATCTTATTAAATACAGACACTTAATTTAAATGTTCCCCAAAACTGCTGAGTCAGAGTGGATATTTTCCTGAATGTACTTATTTTCACATCCATGGATTATTTTCAAGCTTTAAATGTGCTCTAAGTGTGTACGAAGCTCTTAAAAAGAGCAGCTGCAAAGGCCAGCACTGATTATTATTCTTGCATTGCAGCCACAGCACAAATGATTCATGTGCACTTTAGCGAAGGTCGGAGACCCTTTGCTAATAAAAGCGTGTGTGTTATTTGGCTTTGCAAATGCCAAATGAGTGTTAATGTGAATTGAAGAAGTTATCAGACGTGCCTCTTGTCTTTTGCAGGTGAGGTTGTGGCAGCAGGCGATGCCCTTTGTGAGATTGAGACAGACAAGGCTGTGGTTACCATGGAATCTAATGATGATGGTATCTTGGCAAAGATATTGGTGAGCTATCACAGTGACACTGACACAGAAATTGTCCTGTTCTGAAAGTGAAACATACGTGTCTCCAAACTGAAAAGGGGAACATTTTTGGACAAGATGTGATGCCCAAGGAGACCAAAATCACATTTTACTTGTAGTGTAACAAAACACTTTAAATACTCAGAGACAATGTAATCTTTCCACTAGAGGTGTGAGTCTTCTCTTGTCATTCGATTCGATTACGATTATTGGGTCAACAATTCAATTCGATTCGATATCCCGATGCGTCACAATTATTTCATATTAATTTGTTTTCATCGATAAATAGAATATGTCAGATAATAGCTTTTTATTTTATTTATTTATTTATTTTTGGTCAAAAACATAATTGGCACAACCTGCCATCCCTCAAAAGCTCCCCATTCACAACAGGTTAGGACAAAAACATTTTAAGAAGATTTAACAAAGTAAAACAATCTGTTTCCTCGTCCAACACCACACCTCAGGCTGAGAAAACACGCTTTGCAAAAACTCACAAAATCTGAAAAAAATACTGAAAACCTACAGGACACATAATGTCATAATTAGGGCTGCAACAACGAATCGATAAATTCGATGAAAATCGATTACTAAAAGCGTTGGCAACGAATTGCGTCATCGATTCGTTGTGTTGCGCAACTCTTCCAAAAGCCCCCTCCCCTCCTGCCCGCCGTTGCGCGCAGACCGGTGGAGAGCCGGCAGGTGTTTGTAAGAGGAACATGGCAGAAGCAGCGAGACCCCAAAAAAGTAAAAACTTCTAAAGTTTGGGAGCATTTTCAGTTAAATCAGGCGAAGACATGCAACGTTTGTAGGTCAGACTTAGCATGGCACGGGGATACTACGGTGATGATGCAGCGTCTTAAACGCAAGCATGTCAGAATCATCAGCGAGGAAGGAGAGAGCTCGGTGTCCGGGTAAGTAAAAAACTTTTCAAAAGTGATTCACCCAAGCCCCGGATTATTACAGGCTAGACATGCCCTAAGCTCGTAAAAAAAGTCTATAAAATTGTAAGCGCGACGCTATTAGATAGGCGGGGGGAGGGGGGGGGGGGGGGCTCGCGCCGCTGCGAACCGGTTCCGCCGTCACATTCCCGCAGAAACTGGTTGATCACACCGGGGCCAGACTGCTAACATGTGGCTTTACAACCTCGGTGTCCTCACAAGCGAAAACGCTTTTAAAAGGGAGGGAGGAGTCCTAACTGTTGCTGCAGGCGTGTTGTGTGCGTGTAGTTATATACTGGTTAATATATTTTTGGGTTCAGTTGCTTTCATGTGTCCTAATGTGAGTCTATTTGGGATCATTGGAATGATCAGCAGCATCTCTTGATGTGACTTTAAGGCAGTTGCCCAGGGCATCATCACAAGGAGGATGGCATTCATTTACTTTTGTTTTATTTGGTATTTTTCAGTCATTTTTGGAAATAGTGATTAATTCACAGCCTATGTTTAATTTCATTTAAAAATTATTTGTTTGACATCCCCAATTATAATAAATGTCTACAGATGAGATCAAACAAAACAGATGAGAATTGCCCTTAAAGAGCAAGTCACCCCCAAATAAACTTTTTTTTGCTGATAAACTAAATAAACGAGTGTCTAATCGTGCTGCAGACACGTGTCGTCAATAATTTGGCACTTCAGTGCATCTTAGTTAAAATTTAAATATTCTGCCTAAAACTGGCAGTGTTGTGCCGTTGTCAGGTAAAAACTCTGCACTGTATTTTAATTTAAATCTGCCACCGTTATTGGCTAAGAAGTATGCTATGATGTAAACTGGTACATTATGATGTCACAATGCTGTCGTGAGCCTGAGTGTGTGTGTATTTGTTAGCGGCTCCGCCCTCTCGGTCTGCCAGGCAACAGCATGTGTTGCATTTTTCAAACATGAAGCGGGAGTGGAGTTAGACTCTGGTAGGGGTTGACTTGCTCTTTAAGCTGTTTAACTTGGACCAAGCATTTTAGGTCACAGATAGGTGTAGCTTAAGGTCTCTGTCTATACACCTTATAAGACAATTTAGGTGATGGCATGTTGGTTTTCTGCTATTGAACTGTTTTCTAATAATGTTGTGTTTAAGTGAAGGAAGGAAGGAGAAAAATAACGTTTCCCTAGCAGTTTAAAAAAATGTCCCTATGTAATCCGATTAATCGATTAATCGTGTCGAGACCCCATCCGATTAATCGATTATCCAAATAATCGTTTGTTGCAGCCCTAGTCATAATAATATACATAATGGGTTCATATATAAGTGTTTGATGTCTCTGAGCAGATCTAGAGTCCAATATTTATGCCACAGCTCAAGGGTGTCAGAAATAAAACCAAATGAAATGTTTGACTTGTTAAAAAAAGCTTTGATTTGATTTGACTTAGTTTATTTTATTTGAACCCAGTGGTTCATTTCTGAAATGTTGGAGAATGAATCAAGTTCTGTTTGATACAGAAAATAATAAAACATAAAACAAATTCTACACTTCCAATAATATTTAAGATGTGTGTTTTATTCTTTCTGGTAATAACACCAGCAGAAGGCTGTGGGCTGGATTAGGATTAAATTACCCAGCTGATGGATCTCCTTCACTAACCAGCTAACAAACCTTTCCACTAACCTGTCCTGTGTGACCCTCACCATGTAACCCTCATGTCCATGCTGTCTCTGGAGGAGCAGACAGGAGACAAGACCTCCTGTAACCTAAAATGAACCAAAGCTTCCTCCCAGTTTCTCTTTAAGCTGAATTTAACATCAGTTTATCTTCATGAAACAAAAAAATAAAGTGGAACAAAAACTTCTATCTTCTATTTCTCTCTCCTTTTAACTTCCCCGTGTCCCTAAATAAAAGACAGACGATCACGCTGCAGCTGCCGTCATTGACCCCGCCCCCTCCTCAAGACCGGATCACCTGGCATCACAACACTCAGTCTGACTGAGCACTTCGAGCAGAAATAATAATGAAATTATGAAAATAATAATGCGTGTTTGGAGGAGCGTCCTCCGATCCTCTCTCTTGTGTGAGCAGACTGTCTCTCTCTCTTTCTCTCAGTTGCCGTGCGAGAGAGCGGAGCGGGCCATGTGACAACCCGCTCAATTAGCATAATTCACGGCCCAAATCCAACAGAACCGGTCGGGCTGATTCAGGTTCGGTTTCAGGTTACAACTCCAGCGCTCAGCCCTGCAGTACCACATTAAGGTGGAACAGTACTTGGTAAATGTGGAGGACACTTACTCTGACAGCTTCTGATGCTGCGCTGGTGCCGCCGTTAATAAAACAAAACTACATTCCACTGTAATCGATTATGGCGTACTCTTCTACGATGCAAAATTGTTTATGTCCGCATCTCGATGCATCGATTGTTTGGTTATTTTCCTCAGCTCTACTTTCCACTACTTCCTTTCATAGAAAGTGCCATATCCAGACATGCATTCTGTTTTCTGGCCATGTTGGATTGGACCCGATAATGATAAACACCCACTTGTGTCAGCGCATCACAAATGCACACCTCGGTACATCGACATTTACCTGTGCAGTCCCTGCTCACTTAACTATTGGACTATCAATCTTTCATGTCTTCACTCTGCTGACTGCCATTATTTTACATTCTCTTACTCTATCCTTGTCTCCGGCTACCAAGGGGATGAGGTACTAGTTTCCATAGCAACCAGCTAAGAATTGGGGGTAGGGGCTTTGGCTTGCATTCGATAAACCCCAACCTCGTTGTTTCTTGCTGTGATACAGAATGTGTACATTATTAATGGGAAAACCAGCAATTGTTGACATAATTTCACAGATTTTTAGAAATTTAAAGTGGTTGTAAATGTCTGGATGATGGTACATGAGTCCTCTGTGGTAGTGCTGTTTTACCACTGCACTCAGCACATTTCTGAATTAGAGGCTACCATAATTACTTGCCTCTGGCCAAATTCCTTGACTTATTCTCCAAAGGGAGTTTTTTATTATTTTATGGAGTTTAAGCACTGCTGTGGCTCAGTTTCCTTCTCTATTGTTTCAGTGTATTAGAGCAGGTTGGTGGAACGTATAATAGCCTAATGATTACTGATTCTTATTTGTTCTCTGTGTTTCACTTCATCTCTGACCAATGGACTTTAATCTGAAAATACGCCATGGGTATAATAAATCATAGACCAAACAAAATAACACAAATTAGTAGATTTATAGATGCACATTGGTTTTATGGGTTCAGACATTCGTCTGTGGACTGTTCAGGTTACAGAGTGAATAACATTGAAGGCAAATTAATTAAAAGCTATAAGAAAAGCAGCATTAGATGTTTGCTGGATGGAGCAATCAGATTCTGCATTTCTGACCTGTTAATTTCCCCTCAGCGTTTTCATCCGGACATACCAAACCCTTACAGCCAGGTAATTTTAAAAATCACCTAAAAATTTCACTGATATTTGAGGCTGTGTAGCGATGTGAAAGAAAGGGAGAGGTGACTCAGAAAGCTGCTTACAAAGAATAAAACTGGTTGTGAGCTACAGCTTGTTTATGTGTGAATGATTACATCAAAGTGAGAAGCTACTAAAGGGGAGCTGAAGTCCTGTGTCTGCAATCTCTCTTGCTTCACAATCAGAATCAAATCGTGTCTTACTTGCTTGGCACATTAATGTTTGTCTCTAATCTTTTTTAGCATGTCTACATAAAATTCACCTTACTATATATGGCTGGGGGTAAACGATTATTTTCAAAACAATTATTCTGACGATTATTTTATGGAATAGTTGACTATTCTAATGACTATTTACACAATTAATCTAATGATTATTTTTCTTTTGCACAATTAACAAAAACCAGAAAATCTCAAATAAATTCCTCAAAAAAATTGACAAATTCTTACTGTAAGAGAATAAACACTACAGGCCTTCCATTTTGTATAACACTGCTTTTATTGTGTTGTGGTTGGTTATGTTCTGGTGATGTGTAGAACTTGGGAGTGCAGGCTGCTGCCTGAGAGGTGGTAGAAGATGGAGT